GGAAATGTCAGCTGAGTGATCCCAGCTCTACAGATCTGAATCCCTCCACCCCTCCACCTGGGGAGGGACCACAGAGCCATTTCAGGGACTTGGATTTCAGGGTCTGGATTGTGGTGTCCCTGGGGGTTAAATGATGGACTAGACTGTCTGGTGGGAGGGCCCCTTTCTACCTGATTTCGTAGTTTCTCAGTTTGTAAAGACAGGCACAAAGAGATGTTTCTTTACTCCAAAGCCATGGTTCTCAAACTTTAGTTGTATCAGAATCAGCTGGTGGGTTTAGCAAAACCCAGAATGCTGGCCGCTCTCCCAGAATTTCTGATTCCATAGGCCAGGGGTGTGGCTAGAGAATCTGTGTTTCTAACACGTTCTCCTGATGTTGCTGCCACCGCTTTGCATCATGGCGCCCAGAGAGTAAACAGTGACGAGGGCTGGCCACCTGGGTTTCAGGTAATAGGGCATGTGAGGAGGGTGGTAAACTGGAGAAGCCCCATCCTCAGGGAGCAACTGTGACAGTGTCCCAGGGATCCACAGCACAGGAATAAGCAGGAATCCAGCATTTTCAGCAGCATTGATTTTTTTTTTTATAAGAATAGGCAGAAATATGGATTTTTTTCATGACATCTTACCATCTTTGGCAATCATTGACTGTGAAATTTTCCAAAGATTGTACAGGCCAAGCAAAACACATCTGCAGGCTGGGTTTCATCCTCGGGCTGCTGCTGTAGAATATAGATAAGGTTCCCATGGCACAAGGCAGGATCAGGGATCTCTAGGTGCCTCTGGCTCTTTGGTGAGGACTGTCAACCTCACCCCGCCTCTCCCAGCGTGGGCTCCCTGTGCCTGTCAGGGCCACATCCAGGCCCCTGCTGGGGAACACTGCTATGCCCTGGCCACTTTCTCAAGGTCCCCACCTTGGCAAAGGTTGAAGCCAACATCAACAACTCTAGCCACCCTGAAGTCTTTGCAGCTGTACCTCTCTCACCTCTGAAACTCCTAACCAGGCCCTTCCTGACCTCTGGATCTTTATGCATATGTTTCCCTCTGCCTGGAATGTTCTTATCCCTCTTCCACATCTGACCTAATTCTTACTTGTCTTATAAGGCCTCACTTAGTTGTCACCTCCTCTGGGAAACTTCCCTGACCACTGCTCCCTCCATCCCAGTCCCACATTCCTCAGCCCATTCCGCTTCCATCAATACACTGGCCTGAAATGGCCTAAAGTTGTGTCTTTCTCCTCCACTGGTCTGGGTGCTCTAAGAGTCCTGCTGCCTCTCTGACTCCAGGGCTGAGCTTCTGGTCTAAAGGACAGGTCTAAAGGAGTATTTATCAAGTGTTCCTCTCTTGGCCTTGGCCTTGACCTTCCTCTTACCCACTTTTGGTTTGCCAAGCTACTTCCTGTCTATCCTTCAAGCCACAATTCAGACTCCACTTTCCATGGGACCCTTCCCTGACCTCCGGGTCCTGGCAGGACATCCTGTACAGCCTGTTCTCCCACCACGAACACACATCACATATTATTGGCTGTTTTAGTTGGTCCCCTCTACTCCTCACTACAACGAACTCCGGAGGCCCACAATCTTGTACAATTCATCTCAGTAACAGGGGCTGCAGAGCAGGCATACTGCTCAGAGTGAGCACCATGAAATGCTTGTAAGACCAACAGAGGAAAGGACAATTCAAATGAATGAATGATCAAAGATGAGAAATGAAACCCTTGTCATGTGTTGGGAAGAACATGGAAGAATGAACAACCCAAAGCTGAAGAATAAACTGGTCTCCTCCTGCACACTGGCTGGTGGGCAGTGTGAAAGTTTCAACTTGCCCAGCACCGCTGAGGGCCCTAGAGACTTCAACCAGTGTGGCCTCTTGGCATGCATGCTGCTTCCCTCAACACGAAACCCTCTAGCTATGTAATTCTATTACCCTGCACCTTCCTCCAGGCATGCTCTTCACTGTGCTCCACCATCCCGCTGGGCAGCCTGGAAAGAGGGCTTCCCTGCAAAGCAGACTCCAAGGAAAGGCCCAAGCAGAGGTGCCATCCCTCCCTGCAATAGACAACAGCAAGGGAAGTCCCATCGACTTAGGAGGAAGCACCCTGAGTCCCGGGACAGCAAAGGTAACCCTGAGTGCTGCACAGCTTCATGTAGCCTTCCGAGTTGCTGGAATCCCTGGTCTGCTCACCTACCACTATCCTAATACTGGATCAAAAAACAAAAGTGACCTCCAACAATAAGTGCTGAGGAGGGCGTGGAGGAAGAGGAATCCTTTGGAAAACAGTAACATATTGTTGGTGGCAATGTAAACTGATGTAGCCATTTTGGAAAGCGATCTGGACCTACCTTAAAAAACTGAACATGGAAATAACCATAAAATCCAGCAATCCCACTTTTGGGTGTCTATCCAAAGAATACAAAGCCATCAACCCCCCAAAATTATATGCTGTTCAATGTTGATTGCAGTGTTATCTATGATAGCTGGGATTCGGAAGCCACCTAAGTGCACATTAACAGAGGAGCAGATAAAGATGTTGAGATAAAGACACACAATGGAATACTCTCTAGCCACAAGGAAAGATGAAACGTTACAGCAAAAGGAAGGAGCTTGCGATGTAGCAAAGTAAGTCAAGATATTGGACAATTTCACATATATGAATAAAATAAGGAATCATGGTGGATGAAGTAGTAAGGCAAAATAATTGTAAACTAGCAGACACTAATAACCAAAGTAAGGTTTTTGGGGCTTAGAGGGAAGAGGGGAGAAGAAAGGGCTAAAGGGGTAGGTAGTAGGAAAAAATTTATATATGTGCTCCATTTTCTTTAAAGAAAAAAAAAGAAAGACAAAGAAGGTGGCCACATGCCCTTCCTCTGTGTCCCAACCCTCCCATCCACCCCTTTTTTCTTTTCAATTAAGTGCAGAAGTCTTCCTTCTGGGATCCCCTCGCTCACCACCAGTGTCACTGTGTGCTGTGCGTCGATCTCTACCACACAGGCTGGACATCCGGGACTGACGCGCTGGGCTGGTCCCTGTGCCTGGGGCAGCAGCAAGCTGGTGAGGTGAGAAGAGCAGTAGGTCCCAGCAGTGCTTACGGACAGGGACTCAGGGACTGGGACCGAATTCAGATCCTGACTGCTACTAACTTAACCATCCTAAGCTCACAGGAAAAACCTTGCCTCTGTTCACTTATCTGTAAAACAGTATGGTGAAGATTCAGTGAGTTAAAAAAAAAAAAAAAAACTCGCATAGTAAGCACTGGATGGGGATTAACTAGTGTTGCTGAGTGATCAACATTTCCCGAATTAATGGATGAGGGAGGGAGGGAAAGAGTAAAGATAATTAGCCAAGGACAAACCAGCACATTCCAGAGGCTGTTGTGACCCAAAGTAAACAATGTTTGCCATGTCTGTGAGTGCCCAAGTGAGCTGTGGACAGGGTTGCTCTTGGGTCTTAGGGTTCCACGGAGCAGCTGGGGAGCAGATCTTGGGCAGTGGTCAGAATGACAGGGCCCCCAGCTCTGGGAAGCAGATCCTGGCAGAAGGTTTCCTTTCCCATTGTGAGCCCTGCTGCAGATTAAGAGGCCTTGGGCCTTTGACAGGCACATCCTGGCATTTCCCTAGAACAGCAGCATTTTTTCCCCACAAGTGGCATCTACCACCATCATTCCAAAGAGCAGATTCACACACTCACTCCTGACAGCCTTCAGATGAATCAACAAGGGAGGGGGCTGAATCCTTCAGGCCTGGCGCTCAGATTCCCAGACACACACAGGCACTCCTTTAACCACAGGTCTAAACCAACAAGGCCATCTGGTTTTTGCAAAGACAATGAGCAGAGAGGAGCCTGGCAGAGAGCAGGAGTGTGGGCTTCCAAATCTGAAGACTTCTGGTTCAAATCCCATGTACACAAGTCTGCTCCCCTGTCGGGAATCTCAGCCATTGCATAACATGGGGTTACTAATCCTTCCCGCATGGGCTGTGCTGTAAAAAAATTAACCAAGGGTGGATGCTTGGGAAATGATGGGAGGGGGAGGAGAACCTCACCCAAAAGCCAGGTGGCTCCCTGGGGGGTGAACAGAAGCTCCCTCTGGACCAAAGACTGTGAGAGGAGAATGGGGGAGGGAGGGAGTAAGCGGAGGAGGAGCATCCCGACCTCCTGGGGACTTGAGAATGTTGATGGAGGCCTAGGGCTGACCTTCCGGACTCTGCTGTGGCAGTGTTAATTGGGGCCTCCCGGTCACCAGCTTCCCAGCCCTGGGGACAGCAAGGTCAGCTTCCTTCTCTACTCCCCAACCCCCCACCTCCAAGGCAGCTTCCTCTGCCCTGGGTTACAGAGGCTTTGACTTACAGAGTAGGTGTTGGTTGGGCAAAAGGTTCAAAGGAAGCTCACCACAGAGGAGGAATGGGTGGGGAAGGGGCTGGCCCATGGCCAAATCCCACTTTTAGCATGAAGAGGGGCAGGTCAGAGACTTCTGGCAGAGATCACAATGCTCCCTGCTTCGTAGATTGGTTCCATGCCAGCTCAGATAGACACAAACACTTCAAAGGGCTCTTTATTTTTTCTCTCCCCTTCTTTTCCTCTGCCTCCCTCAGCCCATAGTGCAACCAGAGCACAATCAACAGATTTGCCTGGAATTCCAGCTAAGCCACTTCCTGGCTGTGCTACTCTGGGCTTGATACTTCATCTCTTTGTGGTGTTTTCCTCATCTGTAAAATGGGTGAACTCACACCTCCCTCAAAGCTGTGAGGATTAGGGGCTGTCCAGTGCACAGGGCTCCTGGCTCCAGTGGGACAGAATAGGGCCTCTACAACCTGCTCACCAGTACCATCTGGTTTGGGTGGAGGGGTATCCTGGATGAGCAGGTGCTGCCTACCTTGAGCGCTGAGAGTGCCGGGATCAGGAGGGTTCCCTAAGACCACAAGGGCCTTTTCTACCCTCAGATGAACTAGCCTGGTCTCCGGCCAGGCCCCTGGGCAGCAAAGGCCGTACATGACGCAAATCCTCACCATACACTTGCGGTCATCTATGCCCGTCAGATCTTCCTCAAACTCCTGCCCAACTTGGAAGTCCATGATGTAGTTCCTAAAAGTGCTCAGCGTGCGGATGATCATATGGTCGCCGTCTTGCACAATCTCTTTGTCTGGCTTCAGCAAATTGGCGATTTTGCGCAAAGCCACATTGACATCTGCAGGGGTGTTCAAGGGGCAGGGGCAAAAAACTCAGACAACTATTTCCAAGGAATGGGTCCCCAAGGGTCCGATCCTACTCCCCTCTAAACCTTGTGGCTCCAGGTGTTAGGGGGAAAAGGATGTCCTAAAGCTAATCCCATACCCTATAACACAGGCAGTCTGTGTGCAGCCTTTCTGTACCTTTTTCATTCTTTTTTATTGCAAGTTTTTCTGCCCTTTTGTTAACGTTTTAAAAACAAAACCAAAAAAGAAAAAAACAAAAAACCAAAACCCCCCAAAAAAGAGCAACCCAAGCCCAGCTCTCCTAATGAAATTATCCACCTCTAGTCTAGAGCCAACTATCAGACTTTTGCCACCAATTAACCCTAACCCTAACCCCTGAGCCTCCGATCCGAAGGCTGCCGGCCACCCTCGGAGCGGTGCCCAGGGGGAGTCCGGCGGCGCGGGCGCGGGCGCTGGAGCGGGCGGGCTCCCGGGAGGCGCACGGCGGGGCGCCCGGGGCCGAGCGCGGCGGGCAGCGGCTTACCCAGCGCGCGTAAGTACTCCTCGAAATTCTCGTTGCTCAGCATCTTCCAGTACCCGTTGAAGTCGACCGGCATTTCGGGGCGCAAGTGGGGGGGACGGCTGGGGAATGGGAGGGAGCGGTTGTCGCCTCTCGGGGTGGCGGCTGCCGAAGCTTTCCGGGTGGCAGCGGCCCGGAAGTGTGCGCCCTGGGGCCAGGGGGCTCCGAGGGGCGGCGACAGCTGGATTCCAGGCGCGCACAAAGCCCCGAGGAGGCTCCATTGTAGCCGTCGCTCCTCCCCCCAGCGGGGGCGGGGGTTGTGGGAGCGCCAGGTTAGTCCCCGGCCCGCGGCCGCCTCTAGGGACCTTCGGTTCGCGTCCCCGGGAAGGACGAGGACCTGTGAGTCTGTGCAGGGGCGGGGGCGAATGCTGTATTGGCCCCGAGTTTTCGGTTCCTGCGGGATTCTTTTAAACACCACGAACTTCTTCCATTCAGTGGCCACTTGAGGAGAGAAACAGTTTCCTAGGGTTTGCTGGAGTGATTGGAAGAGAGGCCACTTACGAGGTCTTTGTCTGAATCCCTGCGCTTTGGACACCCTGCGCAGTGGCCTCGCTGGTGCGCGCCCAGAATCAGGAAAGCTGGGGAGGTCGACTCCGGGCGAAAACAGCGGGGCTCTCTCTACATCCCTCCCCCATATAAAAGTACGGTTGATGGTGTTTGAAGTAAATAGATTAAAAGGTCCTCTGGGTGGTTCTGCTGCACTACCAAGTTGAGAGCCCCCTTTTATGCAAATGTAAGTAATTATCAATGTGCATTCTACTGATTCTTTCCTTCTCTGTCACCACGTGGCAGCACGGTCCGCCCCAGTTTTCTGCAGTTTGATTTTTTTCATATTCTGGAGATCCTTTCGTATCTGTACTTAGAGAGTATTTGCATTCTTTTGCAGGTGATTCCATTGTTTACACAGCTTGCTCCCCACTGATGAACCTTTATGTTGTTTTGGATCCTCGACTGTTAGAAGCAGTCCTGCAGCGAAGATGTGTGATGACATCTCATTTCCCACCTGGTGGGGATGTCATAGTGCTTTAAAACGTCTGTCTTTGCCAACAAGGAGATGACTTAATCGGGTGGGTTGACTTTTTGACCCTCTATTAAAACTAAATATCGCTTTTAAATTGCTTTTTGCACAAATCACTGTCTGGGTGACAGCAGGCGCTTTCTCTTCTCTGGCACTACCAGGGCCCACTACCCCCCATTAGCCCTCACACCCCTGCATCCTGCTGAGTTAGGAAAGGGTGCATCTTCTTCAGGGTGGGGGCAGCTTCACCCCAGGGAGTGACTTTGCTTTACACCAGGGTGTCTCAACTTTGGAATTATTGACATCAGAGCCTGATAATTCTTTTTTGGGGGTGGTGGTAGTGGTGGTGGTGATGGTGGTGGTGAATGTATTATAGGATGTTTAGCAGCATTCCTGGTTTCCACCCTCTAGATGCCAGTCGACATCACCCATAAATGTCTCTGAACATATCCAAGTACTACAGGACAGGGGGAAATGTCCCCTAGTTAGAAGTCACTGCTCTAGAGAGTTGTACCCCATATGGGGCCGTTTAAGGAGATGTCTCCTCACCTAGCTTTGGGGTGCTCAGGCAATCAGTTGTTCACACCGGTTCTGGTTCATCATCCTTCCTTAGCGAGTCTGATGCTTAACTCAGCCCTCTTTAACCTGAAAATTCAAGAAGCCTCTGTGGCTCAGTCAGGTGAAGGGGTGGGTCCTGGCATGGGTCTCTAAGACAATCAGGACCAACCATGATCTTGGGCTTCCTTGTCTGCCACACTCCCCAGAACAAATGATTAGCCAAGTGAATTGGCCATTCTCTGGTCATTCCCAACTATTCCAAACCCCTTTCCCTGCTCCCTACACCACCCAGCTCTGCCAACTGGATTTCTCACCCTCCTCAGCCTTCTTCCATTGTGCTGAATCTCCTGAGATAGTATTTATGCCAAATACCCAGCACAGCGCCTGGCATACAGAAGGCACCTGTCAGTTCTGCCATGTCCAGGGCGGTCCCTTCATTTTCCAGGCAGAGGACTGGTGCCCCTCACCTCTCTGGTCTTCCCCTGTCCATCCCAAAGAACCAAGGAGTAGCAGGGATCGCCTCTCCTGGCTGTGTTTCTTGCAGCTGGGGATTGGTTGTGTGAGCAGGTTTTAGAGGTGACTGTTTGGTTTGAAGCTGGCTCTTTCACTGTCTAGCTGGGTAAGTTGGTAACCTCTGTGTTTTGGGCCTCAGTTCCCAGATCTGTAAAATGGGACACTCTACTGCCAACCTCTCAAGGTGGTGAGGGATTAAGGAGATAAGGGATATAAAGGGTGTGACAGAGAGTTCTGCTCCAGATACACTGTGGTAAAAGCTGGAGGGGCTGGGGGAGTGAGGGAAAGGCAAGGGAGAGAGGATGCTGCCCCTTGCTCCCTCCTGGGGCCTTTTATAAAAAAAAAAAAAAAGATTTATTTATTTATGCATATAAGAACTGGGGTACAGGCCAGAGATGTGGGGGTGAGAGGATTCACCAGAGACAGATGAGGAACAGGACAGGTGGAGTGACTGAAATACACTGCTGAGGGGAGCAGGGGGCGAGACAGAAGAGGTCTGCTGGAGCCATGTGGGTAACTCCCTGGCTGGCCGGGTATGGAACTCGTGCTGCAGAGGCTGGGGACAGCTTCGCAGCGCTGTGCTTAACCCCTTGTGCCACCAGGGAGGCCCCCCTCCTGGGGCCTTAAGATCAGTACACTGAGCTGAAAGGGAAAGTGCTGTGTGGAGGCATTAGGTATCATCATGGTTTTCCTTTCCCAGCTCACTGTCATGCTCAGTTGAAGCCTCTTATCAGTATGTTTGGAGCTCCCTCTGTCAGGGGTGCTATCACTTGAGAGGTCCAAAGCAAAGAAAGAGCAACTGAGGACAGCGGGTAAAGGAGAGGGGGTCTGTGTGGCCTGCCAATTGGCAAGCCTCCCCTGGAGGGGTGAGGCTGTCACTGGATCTTGAGGACAGTCTGAATCTGAGAGGTGAAGAGCAGGAGAGGCTTGTCCGGGGAGACAGAGTGCTCAGCCAGCAAAGGACAGGCTTGTTATGTGGAGAGACGAGGCTGTAAACACACGAGGACAGCTTGATTGGTCTTGTTTCATTCACTGGCCTTAAAGAAGAGCAGCCAAGGTCCGTGGCCAGTCCCAAGAGCAGGAAGGACAGGCCAGTGGAGAAGTACCCTGAGGCAGTGGGTATACCGGGGGTGGGGCTTGCAGGCCCTGAGCTCTCCTGGGCTGCGAAGGGAGGATGAGTGAGAGCCAAGGGCCCCGGGTGGGTTTCTAGAGCGAGTATAGCTGGGAGAGCTCAGAGAAGCCTGGCCTTCACTGTGGGACGGGAGGAAATGCACCTTGCCAGTCTTTAGTTGATCAGTCTGCTCCACGAACTTAAATTACAGCTCAGGGAAACATTTCCATGAAATTCCTCTACTGCCCATGACTTTCATAATCCCCTTGCAGGGACAGTCCTATCCCTGGATCAGTAAGGGTCTCTACTTGTTGGGGCAGTGGGACTTTAAAGGGGTTGGAGGATGAAGCCTACACATGGATCCCAAAGGTCCTCCTCACAAGATGCTGAGGCAGGAGTGCACCTTCCAGCCCATTACTGCCTCTTTGTCCAGAGACACAAAGTCTATGGGCAGGTCTCCCAGTGGGGGACAGGCAGTGTCCTACTGGTGCCTATAAAGAAACCCTTCCTCCGACTGCCATATCCCTTCTGCTCTTCTCCAGGGCTCCTTTTGTTCTGGAGACTTGCAAAATCTTCTCTTTTCCTGTGTTCAATTGTCTCTGTAGTTACATTATGGAAAGTGATCTGTTCCAGTCTCCTGTGTGCCATCTGCCTACCTGTGGACCCTGAGTTCTGGAGTGAGAGGGATTGTCTAGCAGTCCCAGGGGCCGAGGGGCACTGAGGTCTGCCTGGGATGCCCTCCTCAGATGGGTTCATGAGTATTTGAATGTGCAAATGACACACTTGTCTACCAGCCTCATAATCTTGACGCTGGGGGTAGGGGAGGTGACCCGGGGGCTTTCTGCCTAAAAATGGTTCTGCAGACTGGGTCAGGTACTTTCCTTAAAGACGCTTGTTTCTACAGATTGTGACTTATGCTGCAGGGTTTCTTTAGCACCCTCCCTCCTCCCTCTTGCGCTCTCCCTTCCTCCCTCACTCCCACCCTCCTTATTTTCCAATTTTGTTATGGAGAATTTAAAACCTATATAAACAGAATAGTATATTGAACTCTGTTAGAGTCATCACCGGCTTCAATGATCATTAGTCCACGAGTGCTCTCGCTTCATCTGTATCCCTGCCCACCCCCTTTTCCACAAATATTTTGAAGCAAATACTAGACATCACATCATTTTGTCTGGAAACATTTCAAGAACTATTATATCTCTAAAAGACAGATTCATTTACAAAAAAAAAAATTAACACAACACCATTATCACAAATGAAAAACAATGTTAATTACTAAATGCCATGAAATGTCCAGAAGGTGCTCACTTACCTCATGACTTTTCTCCCCCAATTGTTTGAATTGGGATCCAAACAGGTTTCATATCTTGCCATTGATGGATGTATTTCTTTTATGGCTTATCCTTTAAAATAGAAGTATTTTCTATCATCACACCTTCCCTTTCTTAAACAAATGGTAGCATACCATAAACTTTTTTGGTAACTCAGAGCATCCTGAAGCTCACTCACGGTAGCACAGGGAGATGTCCTCCTAGCCTCCCACAGAGGGCCCCCTGTCTGGCGGAACCTCGGTCCACAGAGCCATTCCCCACACTGGACAGAGGGCTGCTGCCAGGCTTTGGCTGTAACAAATACAGCAAACTGTAACAAGCAACACTGCAGTGAGCAGGTTGTCCTTTTATAGTTTGTGATTGTGTCTTTGGATGGATACCTAGAGGTAGGACTGCTGTGTCAAGGGCCATATACTCAATGCCCTTTGCTGGGTGTTGCTGAATTTCCCTCTTTAGGATTGCACCGTTTCACCTTCTCACCAGCTGCTTATCTTTGTGCCTGTCTCCTCAGGCTTGCTAACAGATCATCTTGTTGAGCTCTTAGAGTTTGCTAGATAAGAAAAGTATCTCCAGGGCCTCCCCTGGTGGCACAGTGGTTGTGCGCTGGGCTGCAAAGCTGCCCGCAGCCTCTGCAGCGCCGGTTTGACCCCAGCCGCTGGCGAAAATCCCACATGGCGCGCAGACCTCTCCTGCCAAGCA